CCCCACGCCCGACGCCCCGCGCTCCATTACACCCGCCGTCAGACCTGCAATTGCGCCGCATTGTCTCCCGACACTTGCACGTGTAACCCAACAAGTCTCTCTGCTGATGGGTACAATTTGTTGTTTACACGAAAACCGCAGCGCACCCACGCTACCCCGTAGCACCCATGCCGCCGAGGAAGGTGCGGGGATTGGGGGCCTCGCCATTGAATTTGGCTTGGGAGAAGTCAAATCCAGGGTGCTGTTTGTCGGTCAGTGGGAGTGGGGGTTGGGGGGGGGGGCGCGACTTGGCAAGGCATATGCAACAGGTGGCGGAATCACTGATGGGCCCAGGAAATTGCAGGGCCCCAGTAATGTTCAAAATGCAGCACTGATATACACAATAATGCAAATTGATGTGCAGGCGCGAGGTGAGCAGCACGCACCCCACTGACCCAGCTCCGCCCCAAGTGCGCAGGGCTGGCGATGGTGCTGCCGAGGCACCCCCTCCCCTCCCCCTCGCTCGCGCTCGGCAGCAAGATCAGCCCTGTGCCGCACCCACCTCCCGCTGGAAGCGCTCCAGCATGAGCCGCTGCTGCTCTGCCTGCTGAGTCATGATGTCAACCTCGTGGCCCTTGATCGCGCTTGGCCAGGGGTCGCCCTGCTCGAGCTTGGTCAGGGTGATGTGCAGCTCGCCGTCCTCTGCCAAAGGTTGGGGATGAGGCAGGGGGTTATAAGAATGCAGCGATCAGCATGGCTGAGGGGCAAGCAAGGATATTATGAGAGAGGATGGGAGTATAGTTGCGTGGCTTTAAAAGGAGGCTGCGAGTTTGGATTGGTGCGTGGCACATGAAGGGCATGAAGGCAGGTAGAGTGAAGTAAGAGAGGTGCACGTTGCAGCACAAGCAACGAAAAGCTGAGCTCTTGAGTCCTGCACAGTTGGTGTGGTCTTGAGAGCCTGCTTGCCGCAGCCTGGGGCTCACCCAGCGTCCACATGCTCTCTGACACCTTGACCGGCCCTGTGAGGTCGAGCTGCGTTCACACGGATTCCAGGGAGGGGGGAGCGGGCATGGAGACGGACGGGTGCATGAGTTAGCGGTGCATGTGTTGCGGCCTTCTACATGGTTGGCAAAGGGTCCCATCAAAACTCGCACCTGCGCCGAAGCCTCAGCAAGCGAGCTGCTGCCTACAGCAGCAGCTCGTCGTTCGTGTACTGTGCCGACCCTCAAGCGCTGCCCCCGCATGGAGACGGGGCGGTGCTCCAACTTCTAGCATTGCAAAATCCTGCTGCAGCGCCCATGCGGGTGCCTCACATCCAAAAACGGCGGGTTGCCCTTGAGGCCGAACTTAATGTGTCGTTGCGCAATCTCGCAGAACATGTCCCGAGCGCGCACGCCAGGCGGGACTTCCACGTACATGTTGACCTCCGCCAGCGACTGGTCCCATTCATATATTGTGCGGCCGCCGTGCACAAAGCGGTGGCGCTCTGAGGGCGCCAGGCGTTCCGCCATCGCTGCGCAGCGAAGTCTGTGCTCTCGTGAGTCGGAGTGCCGCCTGCTGCTGGGTTGGTGGCTGTGCCCGTGCTATCAGCGGCTGATGCTCCTGTATTTAGTCTTGCAGGATGTATCAATTACAGCCGAATGGCGCGCTGATCCGGAGCCTGGCGAGAATCGGAACTGGGGTGCTTGAAGTAACTAGGTGATCTGGGAAATCGTGCGCTGTCCGCGTGATATGGTAAAGCCGGGCACTTACTTTGTGCCGTTCAGTGTACCGTATAATCTTTGCTACTTGCCTGTGTCACACCTTCCCCTGTCTTGCGGCGTTCCACAATCCACGCCTTGCTGCACGTGAGCAGCGTCTCAGACTCGTCCTGGACCACAACTCGAGCTAGTCAATTGTAAATGGCACCGACCACCAGAGTGGGTTTTGCGGTCCCCTACAAGGGCCCGCCGCCGCGCCTCAGTGTGGTGCAGTATGCGCTGTGCGCGCTTGGAGCACCCGCGATGCTGGCGATGTTCATCGTCGGGATTGCGGGCCTTTCTGTTATGATGGGTGAGTGGCAAGCGCTGACAAACGGTCACATTGGTTGGCTGCAGATGCATCATGCCTTGTCAGGAATGCCTGGTGAGTGACAGGTGCGTGGCCGCTCAGGTTCAGGATTCAACACTGCACACCACCTCCCACAGATCCCGAGGCGGCGCAACCGGTGTCGCAGACGCAGTTTGGCCTGTTTTGGCGATGGCTGATAGGGAAGAATATCTTCTTCCAGCCCTTCACTGTCAACTTCGGGGCCATAGGTGAGCCCAGGCGATGAGAGGAAATGTGGTGCACCTGTAAAGCCCGCTGTGCGCACCGCCTGCACATTCGTGCGCGGCAACAAAACCCATAGCCTCTCGCCTTCTGCCACGGCTTTCCTCCCATTAAATGCAGGCTTCATATACTGCGTCTGGCGGCTGGTCTGCCACCATCGGCGGCGGCAGGACAAGGGAGCAAAGGAGCAATGATGCGTGTCTTTGCGTCGGTGGCAGCAATGGTACTTTCATCTATACCGCCATGCTCATGATTTAGATTGTAACTTTGAATCAATGAGGAGCGCCTGTCTCGTTACACACATGCCAGTACGCACACGCGGTCGCCAGCGCACAGCAATGCGTCCAAAGTCGCCGCCGCGCCCGACAAGTGGCGTGCTCAGGGCTTGGGCGCCGGCTTGTCGCCCTCGCGGGGGCCCCTGAACCTCTTCGGGGGCTCGCGGTTGCGGCGGTCCTTGCGGCTGCGCACGCGCACCACCTTGGAGTGGATGGCGGCGCCGACGCAGTAGTAGACCTTGCGGTAGATCTTGGGCAGGACGTAGCCTGTTGCAAAAAGCATCACAAACGTGTGAGGGTGAAGATCAAGGTCACGGGATGTCTATCAACGCCATGCCAAAGCTCAAGGGCCACATGCACGCCCCATGCAGCGATGTAAAGCTGGCTGCCCTGCCGGACAAGACGCACAAAGAGCCCAGCAAACTGCTTCTGCTGCGCATTCTCCCTCTGCTGCGTGCCACCACCACCGCCGCCGCCGCCGCCGCTGCTGCTGAGTGTACTGGCAGCTTGTCGCAAACTCCTCAACCACGCGTGCCCGTGACCTTTGGGTCTGGTCCGCAGCCCGATCGACCCTCCACCCCGCAAGTTGCAACGCACCGTCGAACACCGAGGCCTCCTGGATATCGCGGATGGCGCTGGCGTCCACGATGTTGCGCACCACGAAGCGCTTGATGGCCTTGTCCTTGGGCACCATCACGCCCGAGGCCTCGCAGCGCACGCGCTTGACCTGCACGCGTCATGGTGTGCGCCGATCGCAGGCGTTGATTGCGTGCAGGCCGCGGTGCTGCGTATAATCGCCTCAGTGCGCCCTGGTTCACCCCAGCACCGGACCTCCACCGCGCTCTCTGCACAAGCCACAGCTTCGAACGCCTGAAGTGCTTCACGCAAAACAGCGTCGATTGGGCGGAATCAACGATCTGGACCTATGCGGTGATGATGCAGTAAGGCAACTCACGTGACCGCGGCCGTGCTTGTTGCGCCCTCCATTACGCCGCTTCTTCGTCATGTTGCCACCTGTGTCGGGTCACATGCGACAAGGCCCAACGCATGAGCCAGTGCTGACGCTCGAAACACGAGCAGCGGCATGCGCGCAGCAGCGGCGAGCGCAACCTGAGAAGGCACTGCCCCTGAGTCCACCACTTCTAGCAGTTGAGAGTTATGACCGCTGCCGTTTTGGCTGCTAAAAGCTGCATGCTGTGTCCCCGCGGCACGCCATCAGATCCCAGCCCGCGGCGGCTGCTCGAGGTGTTGCACACCTTTGTTTAACAGACGGCGAGGACACTCTGTCGAGTGCTCAGAAGAGGGCGACTCTAGCTCGGTCGCTGCTGATGTCTGCACCCGACGGGGAGCGAGCGGGCACTGGCACTTGAAAACCTCGTCGGATTCAGGGGATCACGACTGCATTACACACCGAACATTGAGAAAAAGTACCGAGTTTCCTCTGGAATACTCGTGCGACATGCGGCGGCCCAGCCCGACGACCGAGAAGTCAACACAGCTGGCTGGGGGTCACATGATGAGCAAGTGCCGGCGTACAGCCAGGTGAGTTTACACAGGGACAGGGAAGCGGATCCAGCCTGCCCCAAAAATGGTGATACTTGAATTTCAGCTTCTGCTGCCACCAGGCAAGCGGCAGCAGGGACGGCCCGGCGGCGTTGAGCACACATCGTTGTCCGGCGCTTGCGCCCTCTTCACTCCTTGCAGGGCGGCATCGCCCCCGCCAGGATCGCCTCCAGCGCCCTGCATTGTCGTAGAAAAAGAATTGCGGCGTTAACTAGAGGTACTCCCAGGTATGCGGGAATCAGCACTGGTGCAGCAGGGTTGGCCAGGGGGGGGGGTGGCCATCGACGCAGTGCACACACCTAACAGATGTCTCCTGCTCCTCACGGAGCCGCACATCGAGGATGTCGACCTGGTGGGCCACCTGTCCATGGAGTGAGCAGTTCATTAATTGAGATGACAATGCACACTCATCGACATGTGTGCATGCGTGCGTGCGTGCGTGCGTGTGTGGGTGCGTGTGTGTGTGTGTGTGTGTGGGTGCGTATGTGTGTGTGTGCGTGCGTGTCTGTGTGTGTGTGTGTGTGAGAGAGAGAGAGAGAGAGAGAGAGAGAGAGACAGGCAGGAAGAGAGAGAGAGAGAGGCAGGAAGAGAGGGAGTGTGGATGTGTGGGGCGCGCGCGCGCATGAGCGTTCACTTTGCACCCGCATGTGTGCCCCTTTCGTGCGCACTAACGCGCATGCTTGCGCTTCATATCATAACATGCAATGAAGACATACAGAGCAAACAGATTATGTAAGGTCAGTCATTTTTGAGCCGCTCACGCGCTCCGGCGGCAGTAAGTACAAGGAGCCGCGCGAGCAAAGGCGCAGGCCAGCATCCAAGCAAAACAACCAACCCCTCCACGCCGCGGCCGCACCTTCATCAGCGCCACCTCAACAAGGCCCTGCCGCTCACTCAGCTTCTGCTCCACCTGAGACAGCCTGCCCGCGCCCTCGCCGCCGCCGCCGTCCCGTGCCCTCAGCTCAGCGACCGCCCCCTCTAGCGCCTGCAGCTGCGCCGCCAGCCCCGCAACGGCTTCAGCCCAAGCCGTGCGACCGCCGTTGCCGCTGGCGCTGCGGTCGCTGCCGCCGCCGCCGCCGCCGAGCCTCGCACAGATTTGCTGCAGCTCCTCTGCCAGCCGCGCCTGCGCCTCTCCGACTTCCTCCAACTGCCGCCGGCGCGCGGCGCCCGCCGCCTCGAGCACGCTGACCCGCGCCGCCAGCGCAGCCACCTGCTGCGCGTCTCCCGCGAGGGGGCTCGTCGGCGCCGCCGGCGGGCTGCTCAGGTCGGGCAAGAGGCCCGGTGCGCCGTCGCTCCCAATGTAGCTACAGTCCACGAGGCCTTCCTCCAAGCACTGGGCACGAGAGCCGCGCTCGGAAGCACACAGCGGGTTGCACTGCGGCAGGCTTCCAACGGTGCTGGCGGCCCCAGCACCGCTGCCGCTGCCGCTTCCATCCCTCTGCTGCGCAGGGAACAGAAGCGACGCCACTGCAGCTGCCGCTGCCGCGCCCGCGCGCCGGATCGCAGCCGTGTCCGCCTCCGGCCCCGCGTCCTCGAGAAGCGCAGGGCCGCAGCGCCGCCCGCCACCGCTGTCCGACGGCGACAGCAAGCTGCGATACAGCACCTCCAGACCGCCGCTGCCGCCCGCGCTTCCCGCTGCTGTCCCGCCGCTGTCTCGGGCGCACGCATCCCCCAGCAGGTCAGCCAGCGACCCTGGCACCGCCACCTGCACCTGCACTGGTGCCCCGCTGCCTGCGCCAGGCCCCCAGCCATCGGGGCTCTCTCCGCCCGCCCCTGGCGGCGACCCCGGGTCGCCGCCCCGGCCTCCCGCCCGCGTCCAGGCGCCGCCGTCGCCCCCGCCTTGCTGCCCTGCGGCGAAATCGGCCAGGCGGTCGCGCACGCATGAAAAGTCGCGCCCCGCCTCCTCAGCCAGGACGGCCAGTGCCTGCAGAAATTCCTTGATCGCGAGCCGCTTGTGGCCGGGCCCCTGGCAGCGCGTAAATATGATGTCCACGGCGCACAGGGACAGTGGGCCTGTGGGGACAAGATGGGCGCAGGGCGGAGGGGGGTTGGGCTTCGGTCCGCCGCTGGCGTGCCGCAGGGCCGCCGTCGAGGCGGCCGCACACCGTGGCGCGGGCGGCGCGGGCGCCCGTGCCGCGTGCGTGTGTGCGTGCGCCCTCACCCTGGGGGTCCACCAGGCCGGCGGCGCGCGCCAGCTCCCTGAACTGCGCCGCGTTCATGTGCTGGATGCTGGCTCCGACCTGTCGGCGCGGGCGGCAGCTGCGCGTCAGACCTCGTTCTGTGGCGCAAGGCAGACGTCGCCGTGCAGTCGGCGTGCTAACGGGCAGCGCGCGTTCCCGCCCGTGCAAGGCAGGCGGCCCACCGGGTCCCCCCTGGCACCCACCTGGCGGCCGCGCCCGACAGGCAGTCTGCAGAATGCCCTGAAGGCCTGCGGACGCAGGAGCAGAAAGCGGCGCGCATGCGTGTGGGAGCATGTGTGTGCGTGTGTGTGTGTGTGTGTGTGTGTGTGTGTGTGTGTGTGTGTGTGTGTGTTGTGCCTGGGGCAAGCCACAGATGCTGGTGCTTGAGCACGCACATCATAACGCACGCAGACCACAGGTCAGTCTGGGCGCAACCCAAGGGTCGAGCCCAGTCAGGGCCGCCCCATGCTCTCGCCTTCTTCAGTTGCTCGTCGGAAGAGGCGTCCAGCGGCGCCGCAGGCGTCCGTCGGCGGGACGAAATGCGCCCTTGGCGCGCGGCGTCGCTGTAGTGCCTGAGCCCAAGGACAGCAAACCGCATCAGGGGACCGGGGGCCCGTTTATGAACAGGGAAGGGGTGTGGCGCCGACCCGAGCTGCCAGGCCTGCCCACCTATGATGCACGCTTGACGACGCAGCCAGCCGTACAACCGCTAGCAGCCGCCACCAACTCTATACCGAGTCCGTCCCCACTTTTTAGACACCATCTTGGCCCCCCCCTGCCTCTGACACGCTGTGTATCTGCCCGCCCATCTCAACAACCTCGCACACAAACGCGGAGCCCTGGGCACTGATTTCGCCCAACCTGGCCAGGCGGTGGAAGTAGCCAACAAAGTCCTCCAGGCTGACGCGGCCGTCGCGGTCGGTGTCGGACTCGCGCAGCGCCGTCGACACAAACCTGCCTGCGGCCCCATAAAGGAGGGGCAGTGCGTGGCCGCCGCGCAGCGGCCGCCGGCGACGGGCTAAGGGCGCCGGTGACGGGCGAGGGGCGATTGAAGGGCATCCAGACCCACGCGGCGCCGGCTGTCTGCATCAATCTGCAAGGCCGCCCCCCTGTCCAGAGCGGGAGCCTCGGTCCCACCGTGCAGCCCCCCAACCACCTTGGCCCCGCCTCGCGCCCTGACCCCAGCCACGCCTCCACCCCCGGGGTCTGTGCCCCCGAAACATGGCTGTCGTGCCCCGCCCACCCAGCTGCCGCGCGCTGAGGCCCTCCAGCAGCCCCAGGTCCTGCAGCGCCGCCATCATCTCCTGCTGCTCCAGGTACCCAGACCCGTCCACATCGTGCCGCCGGAACACCTCGGCTGCCTTCTCCGCGCCCCCGCCCGCAGCCATATGCGTGCCCGCCATGCCGGCCGCGTCGGCCGCGCCTGCAGACCGCGCCTGCACCGTGAGGCTCCGGTCGAGCGCGGCCGGGCCGCGCTTGCTGCCGGGGGACCCCAGCGTCGACGCGGCGCTCCGCGCGCCCGCGCTCGCCGGGCGCCCAAGCGGCGGGG